GTGAGCTAAACCAGTGAGATATCTGGGTCGGTAGTGAGCTAAACCAGTAAGATATCTAGCCAGCTACAGAACCCTTAAACATCATCCTTCCATATGTACACAGAGGCAAATTGATTCATGAGCATGCAACATCACTAGATTTTGGTCTGGTGAAAAAAAAGAGACAGTTTTAATTAAGTACATTAATTTGTATTAATTTGTTTCAGATCCAATACAGAGTTAGGGCCAAGCTATCTTACAGCAATTTAAAGATGCTTCCAGGTTGTCACGAAGCTCTCCACTCCAAAGATCACATCCATATGGTACTTAATACATTCCTTCCATAGATACTTGGGCCAAGTCAGTTATCTTCGTAAACCTATTTGAGCAACAGATGACACACTTTTCCCTTTGCCCATCCACTTCCTGTTGGAACCTCTATTCATAGCTTTCTCAGACTGAAGTAACGGTGCTTGTATGAATGAGCTTCTTCTATATTTTACACAAATTCAGCTAATTTTTAATAATACTTGGATTGTTTATTGATCTCCCACTAGACCAGGATGCAGTTTTATGGTCATGAAAGCAAAGTACGTCTCATTACAGTGCAAATGTGATAGTTGGGAAAACTAAGGAGTCAGTGAAATTTGTTCATGGAGAAAGGACTCTCCCACTCCATTGCAAAGCTGCAATAGAATTCTTAGCCCTCATTCATTCTTCTCCCAAAACATAAAGTAACTAACAGGTGCTTATCCAACTTTTGTCAGACTCCCCTTACTGGTTCGAAATGGGATTTATTTTAATTTACCATGTAAGCCTAAGCAACTCCACTTCCCATTTCATGTCACTCCATTATCTATCTAAGCTACCTACACTGCTTTCTAATAAATGCCCTCTTGAAGAGTCAGAGAATTTAGCCTCTTTTTGTACTAACTCTACCACTTATCATTTTTAGATCCAAAGTACTTTAGAATGGTAACAGGCTGGATCGAGGCTACTGTCACCGGGTTGATTTCAGTGGAAACTAAGTTGTAACTTCTCTCACTGATACCAATCGGATTTTGTCTGGATCAACCCTGCTGTGTTCAGCACTGAAGAGTCAAAGGATATCCTCCATGTTCAGAAACCTTTAAAATATCAACTCCATTCAGTAAAATAAGGCAATTGGGTTTGACAAGAACGCTGACACTTTTCAACATGATATGCCGGTGACAGTACACCACATGTAATAAAGTAAAGAAATGCAGGTAAGACCCACTTAATTTGACTTTTTCCCCCTTTCTTTGCACAAAATGTGCTCCAAATTAACAGATACATGTTTTTTCTCCTGGAAATTTACAACCTAATAGATACATTTACTGTAACTTTAGTGTAGCACATTGAAATTTCTCATGCCACAATCCTATACATACACTTGGGAGTAAGTCACTGAATGTCATGGGGTGAACTTTTGGGCAGTCATGCATAGGACTGTGGTGCCAATTTCACCGCACTGCTGCAGAAGGAAAAACTGGCCTGCAGAGTAGCTGAAATAACACCATGCCAAAATCCTCTCTCAAAAGTAGCAACCATGAAAGATTATGCCAAGCATTCATCTTTATAAGCATTTAAAGATATAAACACACACAAACCAAAACTACTTTAAGCAGGTGGCACTTGTGAATTTGTGAAGTAAGAAAGTAAACAATACCCTCTGATCCAGGGTACTTCAGGATCTCAATTGCTTTAAATTGAGTGCAAGCTAATATATATTGCAGTGGATACCATAACATTTTGCATAGGCAGGCAGGGATTAATTAGTAAAACATCAGTCATGTACTCCTTAACCCCTTCATCGTGTGAATCAGTGCATGTGTAATTCTCTGAAACAATGCCAAAAGACAACACTGAACTACAGTAACAACAAAACCACTCTTGCTAGCCTGACGTTGGTTTTTGAAATCACTGAGGATGCACGTTCTTTTCCTTTCCGCTGCCTCTCCCAAATGGGTATGCTTTAGTTTTGATCTTTATTCCCTGCATTTCTCTCCAAACTCCTCACATCTCCTAGAGAAACAATGCTTGCCTTGTTTCTATTCAGCGACCTGACGCAAAGATTAACATGCTTGAGTGACTGTTCCGCTATATTCCATTGTGCTCATTCCCTTCAACGGGGGATGCTGTCAGGGCAGACAGAGAAAGCCAGCAGGACCAGACCTCAGCTGTCATGCCGGACACACCAACTCATCTACTTTGGTCATTCCAACAACGTGCACAATGATCAGTCCAACAGCATAGCATGCACAATGATCAGTCTTTTGAAACAGAACATTTGAAACCAGCAAGAAACTGAAATGCAATTATTCCTAAAATGGATATTGCACATTGGAGAAATAGGCTGAACTCTGCTACATAAAGTAAGAGGAATGTCTGCTTTATTTGTACAGAACCAAACAGACGCCTGGTTATTCTAACAAGAACACAAAGTGGCGAGCTTACCCAAATTAGAGAAATTCAGGTCAAGTCAAAACCTATTCATGCTTGATGAATCATTCACATTCTACACTGTCTGTTCAGTAACTTTCACAAATGCAGCAATATGTGAACATCTACTACTCTTTCTCTGTCCCACCTTTATTTCTTCTGCTGCTGCATCCTTCACCTTGGACTTGGGCTTTCCGCAAGACAGGAAGGGGCCACCTAATTTTACTCACTTTATTTAAATAATTTTAGAGGTCATGAGTAAGATCAAACCACTTTCAACGGAATAATCATAGTAATAATAGCCTTAGGGGCCACGCTGTCCTCTAACAGATGCAACTCTAGTCACAAAAACAGCAGGTCACTTGAAAAAGTATTCCAAAATCATCACTGGCAGAGGAGGAAGGCTGCTAGAGAAGAACACTGTGCATTTTATAGGCCACAGGGAGGATGAACAATGCTATTCTCAAAGGAAAATCAAGATATTATTGCTAATAATTATTATTGTATATAAGGACAGATTGCCTTGCCTTCTTTTGAAACTCTTCTTGTTTTCATACTATGTGGAGTTTTCCTGATGCAGTCAGTCAGTCTGTATGTATACTACCCCTACAAAGCATCCCCAGAAGGCTCTGGTTCAAGAAACGACCCACCCCCTTTTATAATAGTCCAATAATCTGCAGACACCTCACACATTTGCATAAATAGGTCACTGTCATCGTCCCCCAACATGGCAGCATCATGTTGTTCACTCTCCTACTGCTCCTGCCACCAACTCTGCCGCTGCCACGTCAAAATGGGGAGGGAACAGGCTGGGGGAGGTTCAAGGACTTCAAAGATGGGCTGCCTGGGGGTGGAAGGACACCACAATGCGCAGGGAGGGGGAGAAGTCTTCATGCAGAGGATCCCCCTCAGAACCCCACTTCTAATATTTAATCACAGCTGTAGTCGAGACAAAATATTCTAAAGATCCTTCATAAGCTAGAATCTTTCAAGGTCTTCCCCACAAAATGTTAACAATTTGCATGGCTCAGGGTTTTGTCTGCATCCATTATTTACATCCACAATTAGAAAAGAGAGCTGTGAGGAAAGGCTTTTTCTCCTGATGACGAGTGCTGAAGAACAGTATTTTGTGACCTTTGACTTAGACCAATTAACACGGGTTTGACTATTTTCTTTTGATTAACAGAGCTACCTTTTCTTCTTTCCAACAGCCACTGACAGTATCATTGTTTCAGGACTCTGATGTAAAGGACAGTATTTGATTACAACAGCCCTGTATAATCAAGTCAATGGCAACCCTTTCCAGGGTTTTCCAGGTAAAGAGTATGCAGAAGTAGTTTGCCATTCCATGCTTCTGGGAGTGCCCTGGGACTGTGCAGCCTGCCCAAGGCCAATGGCTCTTCTTGCAGGAAGCACAGTGGGGGGTGGGGGGGGGACTGAACTCCCAACCTCTGGCTCCACAACCAGATATGTAAACCATGGAGCTTTCCAAGGAATAAATTCCCACTTTAATTTGAAATGAAATAGGCATGTCCTTGTAATGTTCAAATAACCAGCTGCAAGAGGTGACTGTCACCTTTGACTATCTGCATATCACATATGTAATCCAACCAGTTTTTCTAGATTATTTTCCTAGAATCCAAGACAAGTTAAAAAAAAAACTCCATAAAACCTGAATTTATGATGCTGTAGTTCCTTTGTAGTCAATGGTTTAAATAAATGCTTCCAGCAAGACTAATAGAAGGGATTATTGCACCACCTGGTGGATAATATTTTAGATTAATTTGTTTTTGCCGGCCGTGGAAAGCAATTCTATTAGCAAGATCAAGGGACTCAATAGCTATAATTTACTTTCAGGAATTCACTTAAATGGACCAGGCATAACAGAATGACATTGAAAGTTAGTATCAAAGTACAACTGTGCAGCCAATATTACAATTTTAAAGTTCAAAGATTTTTTTCTTATAGGAGGAACTGGTTTTCCCAAGTCAGGTTTCTGAGTCCTTACCAATGGAATGGATTGGAACTTTCTGTATTCAACAACACTTTAATACATGAAGATACATTAGTGATGTACAAGTTATTCCAGCAAAGATATCTAGGATGACTGAAACTCTAAGCCCTGTAATAATTATTTTAAAAACAGATTTTGTTCAAGGTAGTTGTTATGCAACAGTATTAAATTAAATATTCAGGATTTCATTCCTAAAAATGGTTAAAGGCCATCTTGCACATAACATGGGCACACATGTAAACTTTCTCTCTATGTGGAAAGACTGGAGACTGAGCTTCAGGCTCACACCCCTAAATATATGTCATTCCTGCTTGTTGCAAAGCATTTGAAATGTGACTTAGTGGTGATTCATTACTCATTAGGTCCAAATTCAGTGACCCATCGTTGCAATTAAATATATTTTCTAGTAGCCACTTTCTAGGACTGGTCTTTACCAAAATACTAGCCATACTAGGCACAACAGCTGAGTAAAACACATTTAGATACAATGGCACCAAATGAATGCTACTTCTCTAAAGGTTGTATCGAGCCCAATGAAGTTCACTAATATTCAAAGATTTTATTTATTTAACACACAAAAAACATTTACAGCATGCAGGTAGTTAACTATATGGCATTTTCTTCAAACCATGTATTCTTCAATGCATCCTCATGTACTGAGAACAAATAATGGTGTCCACAGGAAAACCTTTGTCATTTCAAGTCTAAATTAAAGTATTTTATCAGTAATGTTATGCAAATAATTTAGTTGATTTCCTTGAATAAATAGAGTTTTTTCATGTCACTCACTTCTTGCCCTAAGTCATTTTTAAATGACTTGGAGGAATTAAAGACTGAAGGGCTTCAGAGCGGAACAACAATGCATTGCAAATTCTATTGCAGATTTAAGGTTTTAAATTTATAAACCCTGTAGTTGTCATGTCCATGCAATCTACCATAGGTGATCCAAGGAACCAAAATAGTTCTTTTGAAAGTCTAAGTCGCAGTTCTTAATAAATTTCATAGAAGGTTAAAATAAAAAACAGATATAAAAATGATGTACATTTTGATCTACATGCTAGTTACAGTTTATTTAACTGCTTAATTACACAGCCATGTCAGCACCAAAACCTGTGATACATTTCTTACAGAAATGAAACTACCATAAACAGCCATGAGAAAATATCCTGCTTCATTTGAGTATAATGCCAGGCCAGGAAACCAGACTTGAAACTGTTTAAACCAAATCGGGACTAAAACTGTATGTCTACCTGACATTGTAACTGAAAACATTTACAAATCGTTCTTAAATACCCTTTCCCCTTGTACAAGTCCCCCTCTTACTTTCCAGAACCCCTTCATCTTAAGTTTGGAGTGTTTAATTCAAGCACAAAAAGAACAGGCTTATGTTATGACAGTTCAAACTAACAAGGGTCTGACCAATTTAAAGTCAGCCTCTGAAGACTATTATTTAAAAAAAATAAAAAAAGACATGGAAAACAGGGAGAAAAGAAGTCTAATTCTTCTATTGCTAAGCTCCATCATAGTAAGCTCCATCATAGTACAAATATCTGCATTTGTAAAAAAATTAGTCAAAGATCTACAGAAAACCTTTCCTCCCTCAAGTGCCTGTGAATGTATTGTACTGAGATACAAAACTGGCATCAACGTACTCTGGAAAAGCAGTTATTCACAATCTCTCCACTGTTGGTTTCTTCTTTTTGGCTTCTACAAATCTAGTGGCTGACAAGAATGCCTAGTAAAACCTTTGAAATATACCAAGCAAGAAATCCTCATCAAAGGCATTATTTCAACTTCATGGCATGTAGCTTCAAGTGCTATTTCATAGGGCAAAACTCATCTTTTAAAATCAAGACTCAGCATGTTGCTTGCAAAAAATGAAAGGCAGCAAGATGTCTGGAGCAGTGGACATTTACACAACTTTAGATTTACAAAAAAAGTTACAGTACATTTTCAGTGTAACACAACTCTTAAACTCATCTGACACTTCTTGCCATTCTTAACACTTACATTGCCTGCTTTATTCAGCTTGTTCCAATTATTCAATCAACTCACACATGCTTAAAGTTTAAGTCCAATTTGTAGGTGAGCGAAGTATAGTAAAACTTGAAGCACTAAATGCAAGCGCAGTTCTACAGTGTCCCGATTTGTGTCTCACCATAGCCGTTTACTGAATTCATACAGCTCTGGTTACCACTGATAGGCTCATCAAGATGAAGCAGAATGTTTTCACCTCATCCCACTGTTTTCTGTATAATCAGGAACAGATGAAAGTCTTTGCCAAGTCCTGCCACGTAAACTTACACTTACTACTTGCTACTCAGTATTAACTCATTAACCTGATAACAAAGTTTTAATCGACAGTTAAGCAGCCGCACCGGAAAATAAGTCCTTAGTTCCATGGTATTTGCGACTTCGGTGTCTAAAGGCAGTCGTCATAAGCACACCTCAGTAATTGCATACTGTACAAATAATTTTAGTCTTATATTCTATACAGCCATGTGGGCACGTTTAATGTACAGTGCTGCTCTAATTCAAGAGTGGGCCAAGTAGTGTTATTAAAAGTGGTAAAATTCAAACTTAACTCAACATTGTTCCACATTCCCTAAGACCATTAAATATACATAAATTAAGCTAGGAAAAATTTTAAACTAAGATGTTGCTTTCACATACATTCAACTTGGCACAGTGCATACTAAATTTAAGACGTGAAAGACAGATCATGTAATGAGAGCTACATTTTAAAGTTACACGTCAATTTTCCAAGAAGAACATTTTTTTCTTAGTTTTGTTGGGAATCAATTAGCCAAATTCATAGAATGAGGAGAGCTGTACAGACCGGAATAGTTTTATACAGTTTTCAAAAAATAATCCTATAGTCCCCAGGAGAGACAGATAGAAATCACTGTCATGGAATGACTCTCACTGCAGTAGCCAATCGTCTTCATGCTGCGTGTATTTTTCAGCATCTAGAAAAAGAGAAAGTTATGCAGTACTATACCAAATACAAAATTGTTTTATTGAACACTCATTTGCTTAGCAATCATTTAAAAATTATTTTATAGACACCCAAGCTTATTAGCCTGTTTCTATGTTTACATAAAAACATTTGCTTAAACACTTTTTGAAGAGGAATTCCCATTTAAATTGATAAGAACTGCTATTCTAAAACTGAATACAAAAAACAAAACAAAAAAAAAAACCCAGCATCCTACTCCATATCATTTGTAATCATCCTAAAGACCACTTCTAACTTTGGTCAGAGGAATTACAGCTTAATGATAAGGTACAAAACCAGATTCCATAAATAATCAATTTAAGAAATATATTCTAAACCAGAAGTCCCCAACCTTTTTCGTTCCGCAGACTGGCTGGAGAAGATAGGGCACCCCTGCACTTGCGCAAACAAATGCTCTCTCTCACGCGCGCATGTACAAATGGCGGCACGGCGCTTGCACAGGCATGCTGGAGCGCGCGCGCAGCCGCAAACGGGCTGTGCGGGGGTGAGTGCGTGGGGGGGGGAGGACTGTCTCGGCAACCCGGTCTGGCTCAGGCCACAACCAGCACCGGGCCGTGGACCAGGGACCTCTGTTCTAAACAATTATTTTAGACTGTGTCAAAAGCTCTTTAGCTTTGGACAAAAGGAATTTTATCCAATTTATCAGCTGAATCTGAGCGTATTCTTAATCCCCTACAAATTATCTCTGGTGCCCTGATTTTAGTCTAATGCTTAATTAAAATGTCACAATCCTCTATTTTCCCAGAAAACACTGTTTTGTAAACAAAAGACATCACCAACCACCACCACTAATCCGAACAAATAAACTGAAAGCCAACCTCGGTAATGTATATTTACACTTTCTCTTGCCGTGCTCCACCTCCACGTACAGCAACTGGCTGGCTGTTCTGAGTAAAAGCGCCTCCCCCACGAATTGCACTTGGATGAGTTGGAGAAGCTGCTGGATGCTGACCAGGACGAATAGGCTTAGCTGCATGAAACAAGTAGCAGTGTTAAAGGTAAAGCAAATATACTTCGCATTAGAACTACTACTATCATAAACAATGTAACAGCAGGTACAAACACTTAAGACCTAGGGAAGTATTGTGAAATATTTCTCTTTAGGATTTGGAAGGCTTTTTATCACATGTCACATCGTTTGAAATTTTACACATTGGACTATACAAAATTCAGCCATTTGAAACTAATAAACACACACACACTGAGAGGAAAGCTCTTGTCCTGCACCTCTATAACCCTCTTACACAAGGAAGATGACAAGGATGACAGAGAAAACATCTGCTACCCATGACAGTTCCCTAGGTCAATCAGGACTCTAGAAAATCCCCTCTACATTTGAGTTCATCATGGTTCCAAATGCCTCAATAGGAATAGCCCTGATCAAGAATTAAACGCATAGGAACATTTAAATAAATGAATGAATGAATGGATGGATGAATTAATGAACAAACAAACAAACAAACAAACAAACAAACAAACAAACAAACAGGAAAAATTAGGTACATTTGTAACAATGAATCAATTTCTCTACTAACCAATCTGTGCAGAATGTGCCTTTCTGATCATATTCTTTGATCTCACAGCCTCCTTAATCCGATCCACTTCTTGCTGATACCGCTTGCGATCACGGGATGCATTCTCTTTGGCTTCCTTCAGTGCTGACTCCAAAGCTTTAACTCTCTCAGCTGTAGCTCTGAGTCGCTTCTCCAGTTTTGGAAGCTCACAGCGAAGATCTGCATTATCACGTACCAGCTGGGGAAATTACAGAGACATATATATACGTACACTTACTGCCCTTCCCATCATGACAATGAAGTCCTCTTGTACCACTTCCCTATAAATTTTCTTACAGTAACAAATGTTTGTTCACTGTAACGTATATAACAGATAATCATGTATGTTCCTATTATATTACAACATGACCATTATAATATTACATCAGAGTAAACACAAGATATCATCTCAGACTCGTGTAAGAATTGACAGTATTGTCTGCCTGTCTCAGTATGCCCAACTCTAATCAAATGCAGATGAGCCAGACAGTTGAAGCGGCCATGCAAAATCTAGCAGCCACTGCCTGCAACACAAGGGAAAGAAGCTTCCCCCAGTTAAGAAGCCTAAACCTCTCATACCATTGTCATCCTTGGATTTCAATCAGATACACAGCTGTGGAGCTTAACGATAATAACAACTGTTTGGAATGCACTACTCAGAATTTCTCTTTTGAATACATATGAAGATACAGCGGGATGCTGGGAAATCATTTCAAATAAAGTAAAGCCATTATGTTAAGTTAATTGTGGCCAAAGAGTTATTGATTTTTAACCCATTACTACATGAATTCAAAACTCATAAACCATTTCTTGTTGCAATTCAAGATCAACAATACATGGACTTTAGGGTCCACAAAACAAGTGGTCTATAAGCTTTTATAGTTGTGGAAGCACTGAATGTACCTGTTTATGCACTTTTGTGAGCTGTTCAAGATTATTCTCAAGAAAAGAAATCTTCTGTTTTTGGGCTGCACTGCCCCCAGTGTCATCCGAATCAATCTCTGCACTCTATGGTGTAAGATGAACAACTACAGGTTAAATTCTTATGTATCACAAGAAAATTACTGGAGTAAAATAAAGAAGCAAAATTAAGATTACCTTCTTAACCCTAGTAGCCAAATCTTGAACAAACAGCTTTCTAAGATTGTGCAGGGTCTGAAGTTCTTTGGCCTAACAACAAAAGAGATGATTCAACTACAGTATTCCTAAAGCAGAAATTCTAAGAATTTCAAATATACTTTTTGAACAAATAGCTTACCACAGTCTCTTCTAAACCTTTTAAATCCTGTCTTGCTTGTTCTCTTCTATCTTGCATAACCCTGAAGAAAATACACATAATAAGTAACATTTAGCTACATGCTTTTTTTTTTAAGTTTCTGGCTGAAAACATCACAGAACAAAGCCAGACAAAAACATCTTTCGACATTCAAAAACTGAATTGTACATTTAAACGTGTGATGATACAAAACAGTCCTTGCTCACACCCTGAGGCCCAAGGTGCAGAACCAAAGAAAATCTTCATGTGAGAGAACTCCATAATATTTTGCCCAATAATCAAAGGAAAAATGGGCCAATTACCACAAGTGAAACAGCATAAATCCATGTATTTCACATATGGGCATTTCTAGTGACACAGACAGAAACCACAACAGGACGTTGTAAATTGTTGGAAAAGTAACTGGCCAAAAGAGTTCATTTCCAGGTGAGAACTACTCTGCCAGCCTAGAGAGAAACACCAGGCAGTGTGTTGGCACCACCCACCACCAGTGATGGGGGTTCCTCCATCTCCCAGCATTCTACAGCCTGATGTACCAGTTGTTAAAAACTGTGGTGGACCTTACTCAGCTTGAGAGGATAGCGAGAAGCAATCTTCAGCCTTGAAGATGCTGGGCAAAGTATGTACGAGATAGAAAATGCAAAACTATCATTTTAAAGAAAGTGAAAGATTAGGGAATGTGAACTGTAGAATTCATCCTTTTTGTCATTTTGTATAGAAACTACATTACTACACAGCACACATTAAATATGCCTTTTATTTCCCCCAACTTGTAAACTTATTAACTTAAATATTTGGAATGTTACATTCATATTTCCACAGAATATCGTAACATAAAAAACTAAAGATCTCAAATAAGAATATTATATTTACCTACTACAGGCTATCAGGCAGTTTTAAAACAACTTGCTATTTTTCCTGATTCCCAAAAATGTATTTAAACAAAACCCACATGGATTCTGATTCACTAGCATAGGGCTGCATATAGCATCTGATTCTAGCATCCCATGTGCTTTGGAGAGTTGGGGAACCCATACAGGATGCAAAACTATGGAAATTAATTGCTCAAAACAACATGAGAAAAAACAGAGTTTTAATATACACTATTCGATATGCCCAGTCACTGACTGCCTTTATTAATGTTCCTACTTACGTAAGTTCGTGCAGTTTCTTGCTTTTCTCTTGATCTGTAGCTTTCAGTTTATCATGCTCAATTCTCAGTCTTTCCTGTTCAAGCATCATCTTCTGATTTTGACTAAACATAAGGCAGGGAAAGGCAAGCAAATTATACCAAGAATTGTCCCTGAAGGTCAGCTCTTCACTTTGTGACTAACCATCAAAATATACACACTAGGCAAGCTAGCTCATTTTGTGCCAGTAACCAAGATGACAATCAACAAGTCTCACAAATTCAAGCAAACCTAAGTTGGAGCCAATCATCTGTCTTTAGCATTAACTACCAATTCAGTTCTCTTAACAATGGCCACCAAATTCGTAATCCAGATAAAAGTCATTACTGGTTGAATTGAACATTTATTTTACTTCTGTGATGCAAAACATCAAGCTTCTCTTCCACATAAGTACAACTCTGTATACATTATTTACTACCTCCTATAAAAGAGTGAAAAGTTTAAGCACCTAAAAGCAAAGTGAACTGGGCATTTAGAAACAGATTTAGAACTTAATTATGCTATTCCTTGTCCTCTCTCATCAAAACACATAAAATACAGGACTTACTCTTGCAGTTCAGTGATTAGTTTCTCCTTTACTTCAATTTCATCCCTCAGGCTGCTAATCTGCTTCTGATGAGTCTCACGGTGACTTTGAATTTGCTGCTCAACAGCTTGCTAAAGAATCAATGGTTCTGGTTATTTTATAGTGTGATCAAAAATTAACTTTTTGAACAAATTTGTTTTGAATAATCTGGTAGAACAGGCTAAAATATTACTTGCCTTGACTTCATTTGCAGTTTGAACCTTGTTTAAGTGCTCCTTCTCCATTTCATGAACTTTTTCTAGTGAGGGTTAAAAAAAAAAAGAGATTTTACCTAATAGATACAGACAAGTTTTGAATACACATTTGTAATAATGTTGAATAATTTCTGCATAACTTTCCAAAAATATTATTTATCATGTACAGCCATATGCCTAAAGGGAAGCTCAGAAGAGTAGACTCGACACTTGCTACTTGAAAAGAATGATTTGCATGAGCGATTCATGTATATTATCTTCATACTCAGAGTCAAGAGTATACAACATGCCATCAACCCCATGTTATAGCACTGAGACAAGACAACCATTTGCCAGACGTTATGATTCATGACTGCCATGAAATTGGTCTTCTCAAAAAACAGTTCATGTGTTTAACCACAACACTTGTTAAAAGCATAAAAGTAAAGGATCTCATACTTTGTGCTCGAAGCTCAACTAGCTCTTCATTAAGGGAATCCACAGACTCTTCAAGCTGTCTTTTCTTCTGTTCCACATTCTGAAGATACTCTGTGAGTGACTTGATCTTCGCTTCATGCTTTCAGGATGAAAATATGACTAACATTACAAGATGCTATATATCAAAGAACTATGTAAAAGTTTGATAATTTGATTGTTTAACTACAAGGTCAAAATACCTCCAATTATTTTACTGAGTTCATTAACTATATATTAAAAACAGCATATCCTTTGAAAGCTGTTGCTGAAGAACACTTCTCATACTTTATCTGGCAAAAGATAAACCATTTGTAACAATAGTCTCCTTTAGATCTGAAATTTGTTTAGTCTCTGTTCTTACATCTTTAAGACACAAGTTATTTGTTTCAGCACTGGAAACTTCAAGTATACAAGTTCATTAAGCAAAACTAAAGATACACTGGGGGGTTGACACATCAAAACCTTAATCATACTCAATTTTGAGAAAGATTGGCCCCAAATGCAGAAATCACTTGACATCTTTGACTTTTGTCTTTTGAAGTTTACTAGGACAGAACGTTTTCTGCTACTGGCAAGATGCTAGGAGTCTGACCTGATAGAGTTGCTGCTTTCTATATTACTCATAACAAATTCAGTAAATATGTAATTTTTGCAGACATTATACAATGGGAATCTGCAAGAAGCCAGCCACTGTGTGAATGTTTACCATAAAAGTATGATTACAATAACCTGCTTTGAGAAGCCATGTTATGATGTCTGCAGACTAGTGATACACATCACAGAAGTCACAGACTTCCAGCCCACTGGAAAACATCATTTAAAAACAATGTTAATTTGTTTCTGCTCAAACAAGTGTGATTCTTTATTAACTACGAAAAAATATCTAGGTACCCTCTAGGCTAAATCCAATCTAGAAGAGACTCATTGAAATCAATGTGACTTTACCACGTTGGTTCAGCAGTCCTACTCTAGGCAGGCAGGACTGGCACTGAATTTAGCCTATTATTCTAACACTGAGGCTATGCATGCCATTCCTTATATACGTAGTATAGCTACACATCAGTTATCAGCAAATTTTGGGAGAACCCTACTATTCAGAGGAATGAGGAAATCTTTAAGAAAAACTCCAAATTGGTAGCCTAAAAGAGCCCAGTAAGGACTGCTCAAAAGAAATGGAGGGCGGACGAGAAACCTAGTTGGGTTAGCATTAACAACAGTGGGAGGGGCTGGAGATCTGAGCAACAGCACTTTTAACTCTGAACATTTTGCTGTAAGTCCCACTGTCATCAACAATAAAAAGGATTAATTTATCAAATGAAATCAAACTGATATCCTGAGAATCAAGATGCAGACATGACTTAACTGCTGCAGCCAAACCACACTTACCTGTGATATACGCAGCTGACAGGCTGCTAGCTCTTTTTCATTTTCTTCCATCTTCTTATTGCTTTCTGTTTGTGTACTTTCTAACTGCTTGCAGCGTTTTACCATAGTTTTCACTTCAGATTTCATCTTACTGATGTAAAGTCTTGCAACTGTAAATTCCTCATCTATCATACCAGTTCCTTCTGGTTGCTGAAAAGAATTAGGGTTTAGTTCAAACCATTTGGAAAATTTACAGAATAATCCTGCAACACTCACAATTCAAGCATTTCCTTCCCATCAGTGTACCTGTCATATTACTCATTTGCATAAATATCAACTTTAAACTAGAACTATCGTAAAGTGAAACCCTCCACTCAAAATGTCATCCTATTTACTAGTACATGATTGAAGACAGTGAGCTCCTTAATTTTCCAGAGTTGCCAAGTGTCAGCTCCTCTAATTTTTAAGCTCCATTTTTGTTGCTTTTTGTGACAGACCTAGAGAATTTTCTTATTATTCTTGACTAGCTGCCACTTGCTCCTTCAGGCCACTCTGAACAATATTATCCTCACATTGTCTTTCCAAAAGCATCCAGAGAGACAGGCAAAAGACTCACAAGAAAGCTCCATCAATGCCACTAAAGAAAGTAGCACACATTTCTGAAGGGTTTTCAGTCCAAAGTACTGCTTGCATATTAATTAAGAATAGCAAAATGTGATGGAAGAAAAGCCAAATATAATTTATAATTTATGAACAATAAGCATCTAATATTCTGCAGAGTTAACTAAAATCATGTTTATAACCATTCTCACTCCAAGGCAAACCCTAAATGGGCATTTCTGACACCAAAAGTAAGAATGGACAAACAAGCCAGAATACAAAAGCAAGACAGCAGACATCTGCTATCTTGATTTTCAATTGTAAAGTTTAGCTCTCACTTACCTTCACGTCGTTATTGCCTACAGCAATTCCTATTTCCGCAAGGTCTTTCAAAAGAGATGCCATCATTTCTGTTGCACGTTTTTTCTGGTGATTGGTCATTTCTTTTAGTTTTTGAAGTTCTGCATCTATACTAGCTAATGTCATCTAGAAGAGAAAGACATATCAAAATAAATCATGTAAAACAGAAAGGTTGGTAGCCATTATTTTCAACAGCCATGATTAATCAAAATATTTATCAAAATCACAAGAAGCTTAGCTTTCTTGAAGTTAACAACTTATTTCTAAAGTTTGTATACACTTAAAGACATGGCTTTATACATACTTTCTAGAAAGCAGCTAAAGAGGAATGATAACCTTCTAGATGCTCCCTATAATATAATACACAGTATAAATAAACAAATAGTATATAAGAAAGGCTAATATAACATTTAGAGGCTAAGTAAAGAAAGTAAACAAACAAACAACTACTACAACAAAAATCCAGGTACCTTCCAAGGGGAATTTAACTTAGCATGGATTAGGAAGAAATACAGACCATCCCCTGGCACTGACCAACCAATGGCAGTCATTGAATAATGGGATATAAAAATTTGAAATGACAGTATGATAGCCACTTTAGCTGTGATCTCAAAATGAGTTATAGTGATTAGTACAAAAGTAACTATTAGAACAGACTATTAGTGAAAGTAATATAATGCAATAACATTTTAAGAGTGGATTTCCTAATTTGAAATGCTGGATACTTAATCTGTAGCTGCTAAGATTTAATATTAAACTAATTCAAGACACACTGTGTGGAGAGACTTATTATCCAGTCTCCTTGTCAGAGTGGTCAGCTGTGCGGGGAGGCGCCATGCAGGCTACTTCCACAAGTGGTGCGACACAATGACAGCCATGCACACTGCATGGTAAGGGGACCAGCCAGTTCTGGGGGGAGAGTCCAGTTTCCATAGGCACCTGTGGTGCCAATATTCATATTCATATTCCCAGGGATAGGAATACAACTATGCCATCTCTACTGTTTTTATATTCTCAAATGCACAGCTTTACATTCTCATTAAAAACTAAGACAGGCATCAAATGAGACAAGGGGTTTGTTTCTCAACATTCATGCTTCACTTGCTATATTACAGAAAGAGGAGGGGGATGAAATCTAGTTTCTTTGGATCTGCCCAATCCAAACGGAGTGTTGCATAGCTAGGCTTCTTAATATGCTAACAAGAATTAGACAAGACACAGCAAGCCCATTGCATAACATGTACAATTACATGGATTCCTCTGGGAAGCTATGGACCATGTGTATTAAACAAATTAAACAAGCTTCTAGACAAGGATGCACCTAACTACTTTCCAGTCAACAGCAAATAGCCAACAATCTATCTTTCACCTGGACATTTACTTTACTTCAGCTTGCTCTAGTAAAATTGTCTATTTGAAGGCATGAAGACAGTAAATCCAGATTTCCAGTTTAAGTCAACCACAATGCTACCAAGGGAAAGGAATTTAGTACCAACTCCCATACTGTAACATGGAAGTGCAAGATAAAATATCTTTCACTATAGTAGCATACATTCTTTCAAACACATATTTTACTTTATACATGCACAATAAAAACCTACAAATACCCAATTCTAAAAAATCTTCCGAACTTCTAATAATGACAAAGACCAACCTCTAATTATTTCTACACAAGACAGCACACAAAGTACACTTTCCCTTTTTTGCACCTAATTCCTTTCTGTACCCAAAACATTGTACTAAACGAGAATGCAAGCGATTGTGTGCGTTGGAGATTTTTATATCAACCTCCATTGATTCTGTTGTACTTATCTTTATTGGTCTGTGATCATAATCGATCCCTTTCTCCTCGGACTAACAATATTTACAGGGTTTCCCTGCTAGCAGCCTGGAGAACCAATTAACTTCCCTATTTTTACAGTTTTTGTGAACTTCACACAAATCCAGCAAAATAAAATTAAATAAGGTGCCACTAATATTTCAGTTAGCTGACAATACATGGCCTCAAATAAGAGATCGGTATAGACTGACAACTGGCTGAGGTCTAAAGAGGTTCTGCTACCAAAACATGTAAGTTCATATGCACTTCCAAATCAGAAGGACAATTTTATCTCTATGTACCTATGTATGTGTACCTATGTATTTATCAAAGAAGATAATGACACATGCAAGTGCATATAGATTTCTATAGATGTAAGCATAACATTAAGTCTAGTTCACTCTCCCAGCGATTAATAATTTTTCTGCTTGTCCGTAGGTGTATAAACATGTAACAAAGAAGGTATCTTAAAAAACATTTTTATCTTCTTCCTTCTGGTTTCTTACCGATTTCTGATTTAATTCATCACTGAGCAGCTCATATTCCTTTGCCTTGTCTTCCACTTCCTGCGACTTTTGATCATAGTTGACAGCAAGCTCCTCAAGGGCTTGGAGGACTTCTTTTACTTCCTCTTTAGAGGCATCGTTTTCAGCTTGAAGGCGATTCAGTTCAGCTTGCATATTATCTTGGTCCCTCCTGGTAGATGCTAGAAGCTACACACAAAAAGTATGAGAGTAGGCTCTATGTATTGACTATTGGTTTCAAAGCAGTTGTTTCTTGAAATTTAAAAACGACTAGGGTCTTCTGAGAAATCCTACAGCAATTATATGCTTCTGCTGAGCCACTTCCTTTTTCTACTGAACAGATAATATTCTTGGATTTCAATATTCAATTATAAAATAATTTAAGATTATCAAGATTATAAAACAAAAAAACAATGGTGACCATCATTTTAAATCCTGGTAAGCCCTAGAGATCTGCTCCTAGATTAAGTAATAAAATTTGAATATGGATTTAATCTGAATATAAAGCATCCTTCCAAAACAGTTTTAAAATAAGTTGATATACTAGTACATTCACATGTCAGTAGCAATAACAGGCTTAACACATAAGAACTCAGGTCATTAGCAGAATCCCAAGGTTCTGTAACACTGTGCTCTTCAGTTCTGTGCCAATTTTAAAGTGTACAGCTGGACACAAAATATGCACTGGAAAAAACTGTGCAGCTAGAAACTTACAAATGTGTAGTTGGTGAAATGGAGAAAAATCTGACAGGTTTTTTGTCATCTGTTAATTAAGAAGTTAAATGATAAGCAGTGTCATGAAAGAAAATTTATATAAGGATTAGGAAATGTTTGGCTTTTATATTCAACCAAACTGCCCACAGCACATGAAAACAATTCTTTTTAGCCTGAACTGCATCTTCTCTACCTTCAGGAGAGCGGGTGTTTGACAGAGCATTTGTGCAGCTGGAAAGTCAGGTTTTTAAAAACCCTGCCCTGTGTAACTGAAACATAAAACAGTAAAACTTACCTCTTCCTGATCCAACATCTGTGTTTTTAGTTTTTCTACCAACTGGCTCTGCTGATTAATTTCTTCATCCTGATTTTAAAAAGAAAATACGGTAACTCGTTCTAAAATTCATAAAAAGCAACACAGTGCATTAAAAGTGGAAATAACCCAAATTTAGATCATAAGATCATGAAGAAAACTCATGATAAAAAATCCCTGCACATAGTTATACTGATGGTCATAGAGGTTGCGTTCCTCAAAACCAGATTCTTATGTTGAACAGCGCCTGATATGATTTTTTCTAGTTGTTTGTGATATAGCATGAAGGTGGCTAGTTTTTATTTAAGAAGCAGACATTTTAAAATATGTGTGTCCAAAATCCTAGACATGTTTGAAGTAGCTCTTTAGATTATGTCTAACTACCAAAATGTATGCACAATTAGACTCCGTATGAACCAAAAACTTTGGTGAAGTACTGCAAACATGATGTATGAAAAAGTATCTAATGCAAACACACGTCTCAGCGACTATTTACATAAAGCTCTGTGAAGGTGACCAGCAGCCCAGAGCACAGGTTAATAAAGGCATCCTCCAAAGGCCTATGGGACCCACCCTGCACAATTAAAAGGTTGGGGACCACCCCAGCCCACAGGCGTTGGGACTTGCTTATTGAGTCGGGCCTATAGCCTCAGTGGGAACAACTGCACTTGAGTGGGAGGAGGGCTGAAATATGGAAACACCTGGGACCAAAGTTCCCTCTAAGGTCTGTGTGTCTGACTCTGCTTCCCTCTGCACAGCTTTCCTCCTCCTCTTCCTCCACACAGAGATCATTTTCAGTCCCTTTGCTTCTGGTCATGACTGAAACTTGAGGGGGGAGGGAGTCCTGTGTACACACAGGGGCAAAATCACGCACAAGAGAGGTGGAGTCCCACCCAGCAAGGCTGAAAATTAGAAGGTATTTTGCCTGGGACAGCAAGGTCCATAAAGGGAGAGAGGAGTGGGGTGGGAGGACTGAGAAGAAAGCAGAAGAAAAAAATAAAGCAATGCCTCAGAGCCAGTGGAAGACCCTTGCACCCCAGTCACGCCCTTCTACTTCTGTTATCTCCCTGACTGTCGAACTAGAGCCAAAGGGGCCAACCCCTGGAAATACCACCTCAACTGGGGTTGCAGTTTACAGGATCAGCCTGCAACTGAATAACTGGACCACCCAAGGCCGAGCACTGAAGCAAGCAGGGCCTCCACATCCTCACCTATGCCACCCCAGCTGCAATGCTGGAGTAGCAGTGCCAGTTCAAAAGACTGAGGCAACTACAGTAGTACCTTGGTTTAAGAACACCTCAGTTAACGTAATGTTAAGATTACGAAGCAAAATCCATGGAAAATAATGCCTCAGTTAACGTTTTCAGTCTGCAAAGGAATTTTCCCCAGGATGCATTGTGCCTGGAGGTTTGTAGTGCTGACCTCATTCTTATGGCAATTGGCGTTTCAGTTTATGAATTTTCCGAATTACGTAACATTCCAGAAAATGCATTAATTTCATAAACGGAGGTATGCTTGTAGACTGGAATTTGTAGAAATTTGGAATCACAAGGGAACAACTGATTTAGTGGGAGCAGAAACTAGAAACTGGTCATGTTCTTGTAACAGAATACTCTATTTTGATATTATTTTGATCTATAGTATGGAAAATTTTTATTGTAACTTAAATTCCAATGATTTAATTTGGTCAACTCTTAATTGTGACTATATCTGAATTCAGATCACTGTCTAAATTTAGATTAATTTAGATCTGTTTCCTTGCTATCTGATATTTCAGATCATTCAAGTACTCAATGTCCATGCCACAATATGGTTCATTTTACATCTTCCACCAATGTTTTCTCCTTAGTTCTCACTGGATTGATGTGATGCATCTTTTTTCCAGAGCAATTCACTATTCAGCATTCATAGTGGAAGGCTACCTATGTGTACTTTTAAGTCCCACTGAACTAAATGAAAATTATTTCTGATATAACTGCGCAGGGTTGCAGCTTGAACGATTTTAAATCTGAAAAAATGAGGTACCAGGTGGTTTACGAGCACATTAAAACTTAAAGCATACCTTGTCATCTAGTTGCTTATACAATTTAGCTATTTCTTCCTCACACTTTCTCCTTTCAGCATCAGTAAAATTGCCAACCACTCCAATAGTAGCAGTTGGTGTATCATTAGTAATAGTAATATCTTTGTCCACTGCAAATGCTTCCAAATTGGCTTTTTCCTTGTCAAATTGTTCATCAACAGGAACAGTTTCACCTTAAAAACAAAAACAAATATACAATTTGTTTGAAATATCTTTACAAATTAACACAGCATTAGGTTAGTTTCAATACTATGACAATTTCAGTGAAACCACATGATTCAGATTTGTAAGGCCAATCTAAGTACTCACAAAACAGTCTGTACAGGTTGAACACTGCAGTTTTGATATAACGTACATTATTTGTTTACATGATACTATTAGAACAGAAAGGTATTTACATAACAATCTGTTAAAAGCTGTCTTCAAACTGATTAACTGACATGTACTTTAAAAAAATTCTACCCAGGGAAAAATCCTGCAGTATTTGAGTGTGATGACTAAGAATGTCATAAAATATACTTTCAGTTCTTAAGTACAACCATGATGTTACATAGCAGCCATGCTAGAACCTCTCTAGTCCTGACACTAAAGATTGCTTTGTCTATTGTCAAATAGAATGTCTTTTTTCTACATATTAAAGTGAAAGCAAAGAAGGTAATAAAGATCTGCTATGTTCACTCACCATTACGCCACCTATTGAGCTCATTTTCAAGCCACTGTATGGTATTCCGCAATGTCTTGTTTTTCTCTTTCTCTTTTTCATATTTTTTCTTCCATTGTTCTGCAGTAAGTTCTACATTGACACATACTGTGTTCTTGATAGTCTTGGCTCTAAAAAAAGAGTATTAAAAGTCAGAGATGTTAACTGGATACAGAATTACTAGTCAACTCACAAGGAAATGCAGTTTTCGTCAACAGCAAAGAATACGATCCTTTTCTCTTAGTCATTATAGCAACATCCAGCGGATTATCATCACCTCCATGGAGCACTGTATGTTTTCCTTACAACTTCAACCACATTTCTGTTGAAAGAACTGGGTGCACAACAGACACCCCAGCAAATCAGAGACAGTACCTATATGATTAGTATTCCTGCTAATTCTGGCCTTCATATGCACTTCATTCATCTTACATACACCGTTCTCAACGTAGAAGCACAAGCAGTCACACAGTATGAAATCATAACAATGTTTGCTGCAGAGATGAGTACACATAACATAAGGGAGTTTAAAAGATTTCAACTGATGGCACTAGCTGCATCAATAATCACTCTGCAGACGAATAAATGCATCACTACTTACCAATATATGCCAGAACATAATAAATCAACCCTCCATTTGTCCACATCTATAATAGCCTGTATTAAAGGAAATCCACTACTGACATCCTTTTAAGTAGCATTTTTACAGAAAGCATGACTAAGGAAAATGTACTTGTTTTTATGAGTATGCACATCAACCCTCAATATGAAAATGCAGTCTATTAAATCTTTCCTGGAAGCCTGGGAAAGAGTAGTTTCAACATTTGTTTCTGTGGACTGTGTTCTACAACTGTTAATGTTTTTAACTTGCTACTAACTCACCTTTGACCAAACAACAGCGTAGATTTTGTTTCAGATTCGTTGTAAGATGATGGAGAACAGCAAATGACGATTGTGGTTCTACAGTTGCCACCTAATGAATCTTGCAAGATTCTAGTCATTTTACTGTCACGATATGGAACGTATGTCTGCAGTTAAGAAAATGGTAAATAAAACTAAGCTGTTAGCTGCATATTTTGTTAAGTCAAACTATGGACTCTGAAGTATATTTTATAATGCTAACATCCTGAGATACTCTGATACAGCGGTTTCTCCAAGCAAAATGTTCTTAAGATTTATACTTTTGTATCTGAAATATCTACCATATTTTTCGCTCCATAAGACGCACCTCTCCATAAGACGCACCAAATTTTTAGGCAAAGAAAACAGGAAAAAATAATCTGGATATTTCGCTCCATAAGACGCATATACATTTTCCCCAATGTTTTTTTGGGGGGAAAAGTGCGTCGTATGGTGCAAAAAATACGGTATCTTCCAAATAGTAAATATTCTCAAGGCACTTTATACATATAAAAGCACAAAACTATTCACTGTCACATAAATATTGCTGTGCATTCACAGCTACTGTATCTTACTGCAGTTTTCCAAGTATCTTACACTTAATTTACTTAAATTTTAAATCTGCATTTTGTGCAACTCCTTTCAACAATGTCTAGATTCATACTGGCAATTTACACAACTATAAGTGAAACTGCATTAAGCTGCACTGACAAATGGCCGTAATGAGTAAGGTGCTGGTTGCATTGCTGGGCACATGATCAGACTTTTACCCAGAAATAAAACTAGCACCTCATTAATTAGCTGCCAATTGCTAATTAATGCAACTTGCACAATTTGATTTATGTATGCATAAACCATTAATAGGAAGTCATTGCTTACTGAAAATAAGTAGTTTGAACTTAATATTTTAAAAAATATACTTACACTATTTTCAGCTAAAGCAGAAATGACATTTCCAAGAGCTGACAAAGATTTGTTGATATTCTTAGCTTCATCCAGTACAGCACCTTCAGCTCCTGTTTTACTAACCTGAAATAGGGGGAGTTATGAGAAAGGTTAAGGCTAGAATACTGGGGTTTAGAGGTTTAGAATAAAATGTGGATTTATATTAAATTATCTCTATAATATGGCATAGACAATCACCTTTTACTTCAATCGTTTGTGTTTACTGGAAAAAATGGCATCTCAAAGGTAGCACAGTTTTGTCTGGATTCAAAGAAAGTACAAAAATCTTTTGAACACCTGCAGTATCGGTTGATCTAAAGCACTGAAATGAATTAAGTTTCACATAATAAATACAGTGGTGCCCCGCATAGCGACGATAACCAGTGCAGCCAAAATCATCGCTGTACGGATTCGTTGCTATGCGAAATAAAAAAGCCCATAGGAATGCATTAAAACCCGTTTAATGCGTTCCTATGGGCAAAAAACTCACCTTTATGCGAAAATCCTCCATGCGGCTGCAATTTTCGCTGCCCGGTAAGCGAAGAATCTGGGCCAAAACACAGCAGGCGGCCATTTTGCCATCTTTTCCGCTCCAGCCCCTCCCCCTCCCCGCCTTACAGCTGATGGGCGCTGCTCTTAGAAGCTTCCCCGGGCTTGCCCAGCAGGAAAACAGGCAGTGGAAATGCACTGGGGAAGCCTCTGAAAGCGGCACTTTGCCGGGGTGGGTGGGTGTGGCAGGGGCATGCCTGCCCCCCACCGCCCCCCAGAGGCCACCCTCACGCCACTTTCGGAAGCCTCCTGGGGCTTTTTCCGCAGTGAAAATGCACCTCTGAAAGCCCCACTTTGCCGTGGGGTGGCGCTGGGGGGTGGCGGGCCTGCCCCTGCCACACCCCCACCCACCCTGGCAAAGTGCCGCTTTCAGAGGCTTCCCCAGCGCATTTGCACTGCCTGTTTACCTGCTTGGCAAGCCTGGGGAAGCTTCTAAGAGCAGTGCCGATCAGCTGTAAGGCGGGGAGGGGCTGGAGCAGAGAAGATGGCTCCCGGCTCTTTTCTGGGATGATCGCTTCCCCCCCTCATCGCAAGCTGTGCAAAAAATGGGACATTTGCGATGATGGGGGGGAGCCATCATCGCAAAGCAATTTTTCCCTATAGGGAACATCGCAATGCGATCGCAAAATCTTCATTGCTATGTGGATTCGTCGTTAAACAGGCGCCCGTTAAGCGAGGCACCACTGTATAATGATCATATTTAAACCAAAATTGTCAAATGAGAGTTGTCAGAGATTGGGAAAATTGAGGGATCATGGATTCTGTTGCTCTTCTGGAAAATCAGGTTTTAGAGTCAACCAAGGATGAGCCAACCAAGACAAGGGGGGAAATTAATTCCACTGTTGACTGGAAGGCAGTAACACCTGCAGCTTACTGCTGTGATAAAAAGCTTCAAGGCCAAGCTGAGATCACTCCTTGATAGTGAGTTAACTAGGAAAATGGTTTCAGGTGAGTGAGGAGAAGGGAAAGCTACTCTCTTCTTCTTGAAAGTCTGGGGGAATTGAATGCCTGATGAGCAGATCTTCCAGAAGTAGGAACTTTGGATATAAAAATGGGGACAGAAGTTACTTTGCTAGATTTAGGAGAAATGATTTTTCTGCAATTATAAAAAGCTTTCCTGACTGCCATCATTTATGATCTTGACAACACAGTATCATAAAATAAACTCAAATGCTTTCAACACATACAGACTTTAAACAGCTTGGTCCCTTGTAAAATTTTATTTTATTTATTCATTTATTTATTTCATTTATTTATTTCATTTATTTATTTCATTTATACCCCGCCTATCTAGTCAAATTGTGACCACTCTAAGTGGCCTACAACACACACTAAAAAATAAAACATATAACATATCACATAACATAACATAATTTGCATAATTAAAATATAGAATAAATTTTTCCCCAAAGATGGCGAGAAACAGGGTATATTATAACAGAAAGAAAAAAGAATAATTAGGTATTAGGTGGAAATGGGGAAGGCCTGCCTGAACATCCATGTTTTCAGTTGTTTCTTAAAAATACCCAGCAAGGGAGCTGCACGAATGTCAGGAGGTAAGTTATTCCAGACGTAAGCCTCCAAGATGTAAGCCTTGGAGAAAAATCTCTAAAGTTTACATTTGAAAGGACATTATCACTATTGGGAGCATCATCTAATTATAAAAGAAGCTGCGAAGGAATTGAAATATGACTGTAAAATTCAGTCCCTTTTATTACATATGAAGGTCAATTACTCTTCATGATTACCAAAGTAGCCACTCCAATTTTTAATTTCATTTTTTATCCTGATTTATTATTACTGTACTTAATATATTTCTTACAAAAATCTAAATATGCTGTGAAAACAATGAGAATTCAGAGTTAACAGTCTCTCATGGTACCTATTTCTTTCAAGCAACATCTACACTTATTTTGGCATAGTTCAGAAACAGGAACATGAAACTTAAAATATAATTTAGTTCAATGACACTTTTTATTCATTACAGAGTTTATTATATAAAAGTATTACCTTTTCACTACCTGCCAAGTCTACAAGATACAGCTTCCCACTCAATTTCTGCTCTGTTTGAGTATTTTCTTGCTTTACATTAATGAGAAAAATGCTATGACTTCGAGAGCTATGTTCGTTCATGTCTGCAACAGAAATGTTTTAAAGATTTATATAAATAGGCATTATGCCAAAAAATCATTAGTTCTTATTTTAGTAGAGACAACCAGCTTATCCTCCTGAGAATGTATCAAACAGAAATGGCAAAGGCCATCCTAGTATTTATGTACTTCCTTTTTTACAGCCATCTTTACTTTTCTCAGCAGTAGCAGAGGAAGAAATAAGAGAATATATATAGTTTCAGAGGCAGGAAGAGACCTGTGAACACTGTCATGTGTGCAGCATTCTTCAGATATGTTGCGTTATGAATTCTATAATCCTTAGCACACTAACATGACCAGAATCTAGAGAGTTTTAGAAGAGAGCCCTGTTAGTCTGTGCAAGTATATCAGGCAGAATCCAAAGGGGAGGGGGGACAAAAAATGTGGCACCTTGAAGACTTATCTTTAAGGTGCCATGAGAATCCAAAGGGGAGGGGGGACAAAAAAATGTGGCACCTTGAAGACTTAACTATTACTCTTTAAGGTGCCACGTGTTTTTGCCTGAGAATGTAGAGAGTAGCATGAAGAAGGCTGTTCAAGAGTTGTATAGGCCTTCTGCTACCAGGAATCTTTAAGAACAATAGGCAAAAGAAATAACTTAGTAAGCAAACTAAACTACATAACAAGGATGGCTAAGTGGCTCCCTGCTGGCTACATCCAGTCCTCTCCATTTTTCAGTCTGATACCACATTTAACTTATAAGGTACAGAAGAGTTCTCCAAGTTTGAAGTCAGCAACAACTTTTTTCCTACTCAGTATCACTTGTCAATTAAGTAGGTTGTAGGCCCAAAAGAACAGAACAGAACCAAAGGCCCATTTGTCTCCTTTCTAACAAGAGGAAATGGGACAGTCTCCCAGGAGCTCTCCCCACATCCCAGGAAACTGAACAGTCCCACAGAAGCTACTACTTACTATCCATTTACAGTTACAGTACTTAAAAGAAGCACCCAAAGAGCAGCAAAACAAGTCCTACAAGATTATTCCATACATGAGCTTTAGACACTCTACTGTAACTTGCTGGCTATTAGCTAATAATAATTGCCAATATGTTTCCACCTCCCAGTCAGACTGGATCAGGACAAACCTTGCCTCTTCGCTCCATCTCTAATTAAGAAATTTATTCATCCAGACCAAATAAACCAAAAAAGGGAGCAACAAAACCTTTATTTATTCTTATTTTATTTATTCCTATTGCATACACAATTTTAGATCAACAGAACAGTAATATATATGCCTTTATTTTAAAATAGTTCAAAATTAAATGACTTACTTGTAACTGCTACATGTCTGTTAGATTTTCCTTCATCTATAGTATCCATAACTTCATCTGGACTACATACAAAACGTTCAGTGCAGCCCTTAAAATACAAACATCACATTAGCAACATCCATAAGGTCTCTAAATTGAGTTGAGATACTCAAACAACACTTATACTCACCTTTACGTAGGGTACTCTATTCTTGTCCTCATGAACAGAAAGATTGGTCTTTGAGACTGAAAAAGTAGTAGTAAGATAGTTATGTTCCTCCTATCTGTGTGAAGGAACAAGTCATGCTTCACTCTTTTGGTATTTTGTTCTTAGCTTTTGCAAACCAGATACCACTGGAAAGTTCACAAATAGGGCATGGCCATTATGGCCATACACTGTTGCTACTCAGAATATAATGCCTCATAATCTGACAATTGGGTTAGTTATCAATGCTAATAGTAGCTGATAGACATGGGCCCCACAAATGTGCCTGCAAAAGTTTGAAAGCCAAATTAGCTGCCACCACTACTTATGATATCATTCCCTATCATAACTATGAGTCTCCTTTAATATCTAACAGTAATCAGTGTGCTATCGACATGTTCCTCAAGGACTACTCTCAAAGTAGAACATATCTTGTTCTTAAGCTTCACTATCTTGTTAAGATTTGTTTATATTTAGTTCTCAAAATGGCTTCTCTACTTTATATTTAGTTCCCTTAAATGGCTCCTCTACTTTTGACCACTGCTCATTGATTTTTCAGGCGCAAGCATTAAGAGACCATTTGTATAGTCTCATCCTGTTTCATCTACAAATTAAACCAAATCCATCACACCTTTTCCAATTTTCCGTTAAAAACAGATAAATACAAGTTTATCAAGTTCTATTATAGCTTGGATACTGCTACCTACAAAGAAAATATAATTACTCACCATCCAAAAGGTCCCTTATTTTATCCAGATAAATTTCAAAATATGATACCTAAAAGAATATAAAATATTAAGGCAACACAATAATCCTTTTCCAGCTTTGCAAAGTCAGCAGCAATTGAAATTCTGGATCTATCACTGGAAGAACAGTGATAGACCCAGAATTAAAATTATATATATATATATTATTACTATAATATTATTTTATTACTGGAGAGCACTTTAAGCATCATTGGCTGAAATCCTTTTGTCCGGTTATGCAAATGTCATAACTTTTGGGAGCAAACTGCTGTTTGTTAAAAAATCTCCACTGAAATTATCTGTTGCATACCACATTGCACAACTCAGTGTACAACAGTTAATGCCTATGGAGATTTCTTAATTTGCAACATGAGTTTAAAAGCTGTGCTCTTTGCATAATAGCACGACAGGATTTTAGCCATTAGCTGAAAAGTAGACCCAACATATTTTATAGTGGGACAAAGCAACTTAGGGCTTTCCAGTTGCTGCTTAACTGGAAACTCCATCATCCATTAACTGTTGTCTAGAACATCAAGAGGCCTAGAGGTTGCCCAATACACTCGGTCATAGAATGTTTATGTCCCATGGATTTATTCACCCAATGTAGTTCTTATACCGATGAATGTCTTGCGTTTGAGATACATGTGTAACACTTATATCCTGCCTTTCCTCCAGTGAGTTCAAGGCAGTATACATGGCTCTTCCCCTCCCAAACACACGGTGAAATATGTCAGGCTGAGAGAATGTGATTCGGCTACTAGCCTTCATAGTCAATTGGAGGTTTGAACCCAGGTCTCCTAAACCCTAGATCAATCAAGAAATCAAAAACAAATTTTACCTTAATATGAAACTCCAAATTTTCATCCATGGAATAAATATAATTAAAAATATCTTGTACTATTCTTGGAATGATCCCCATTCCATCTGGATCATGTAGTTTCCCCTTGATAAAAAAGAGGGGGGAAATAGATTTAACGCTTGCAAAGGTTGCATATCCCACATAAGTTTAAAAGACTAATCAGGAAGATTGTTAAAATTATCTCTACAATCAATTTACAATCCAAACTTCAGAGCATGACCTGATAATAAAATCTGACAAAATGCTCCACTGACTTTAACTGTGGGGAAATTGCCAGCTGTTTAATTCTATCACAGCAATTAATGAGAAATGGAAATCCACCATATACACTGGTGCCTCGACTTACAAACTTTATTGGTTCTGGAACTCTGGTAGTAACTCAAAATGGTTGTAAATAAAAGCACCATTTCCCATAAGAATGCACTGAAATGCAATTAATCGGTTCCAGCCAAAGAAGAAAAAAAATCACAAAAAAACCCTCTGCAAGACACATC